ATCTTCGCTTGTCGCTATATGTTGGTTAATGGATTTGGGATCAAGTTGGTCTATTATTGTTGGATTTGTTTTGGATTTGATAGTACAGTCTCATCTTAGTTTTCAGATTTGACTTAACAATGTGATAATCTTAAAAGAAAACAAAGCCTTGAAGGATCCTTCAAGACTCGGTTTCATATCCCAAGAACAAGAAAAGAAGTCACTTGGACTTTGTCTTTATTATTGGCTCAGAATCTTGATCAATAAATCCTATCCTAAAGAGGAACAAGAACATAGTGTACTTGCAAGCCACACAACTGGAAGTAACAAGTTTTGTCCATGAATGGATTATTCATTTCAAAACCAGCTTCTTCCAAAAGTGTTCTTATTTATTTTCTTTTGTGGCATTGATCTCTTCTCTTCAGCTTAGCCACGATTTTTCTATAAATCCTACATTTTGTACATTTTCCATCACACATAATCTTTCTCTACTATCTGATCAAAGACGCAGCTATAGCATGTAAACACACATAATCTTTCTCTACTGTCTACTATAATGAATCAATGGTATTCACATCAGCGAAAAAAATAGACGTAGCAATAACATGTGTGTAAAACAAATGCCTCTTCCAATTCTGTTATTGAACGGACGAAATTTCAGGAATTTGGAACTCAGTAACATAGATTTGAACGTAAATATAGAATCTTTCACGTACCCATTTTTTGATAGACAAGGTATCATACACACTCAATGATACTTGATATAGATGTCTCATATCCTCATAAACCTTCATGGCCAAATCAGATCAAAAGCGAGTACATTTTTAAATCCAATTTCCGGTTTTGTACTTTCTTGCAAGAACTTATAGAACTACAAAGTATAAGTTTTGCTCCTCATGCACCGAACTCAAATTCTTAATCTCTCTGAGGAATTCCATCGAACACCTGACGTGCAATGAATCGAGATGTTAATATTCCTTTGGCTATGTCCGGTTCACTCGGTTCATATTATTAACCGGGAGGAATCAAACCCTATACCAAACAATTTTTTGAACTCCTTACCTTCTGTTGAATTTGAACCCTAATAGGAAAAGGAGTTTATGGTTTATAAATAAGGTTCAACGATTTTGTATGTTCCGATTACATACCTGATTGATTTTTCATCAATATAAAAGAGACAAAAACAGCTTTCATAAATCTTGTTCCTATGGCTTCTCGACGATCTCTTACCACTCCAGTAGAAGATTGGGAAGATTTTCGACAAGCTTTGAAAGAGCTTCCTTCGATCAAGCAATCTGATCAAGACAACAAAAAGATTCAATGGGATTCGTCGGAATTTGATATTGAGTTTTCGGAATTTAAGGTTACACTTGTGGTTGCAGAACTTGACGGATGAACTAAACCGAAAGAATTATTGGATTGGTTCAGCACAATTGATTCGACCCTCGAATTGATAAACGATAACCGACAAGTCTCGTTGTCGTTGGAAACAATAAGATCACGGTTTCGTGGAATTGGTGGAAGAAGAACCAACAATTCCAATCTAAACCGGAAAGAGAAACCAGAATCTAATTGTACAAGAGATTTCACAATCTCATCAGTGGACGATTACGCTACGGAATTTTCCGATACGGAAGTTAGCGATCCGGTTTATCTCCGGTTTAAATCCTCAATTACAAAACAGGGTAAACCACTTTGTCCAACCATAGTTCAAGAAGCTCGTTATCGAGCCAATTTATTCGAACAAGAGCTGCTGCAACATGACTCGTCATGGCTACGTACCAGTCTTTTTCGATCTAGGTGTATGGTTAATGGAAAAATTATCGATTTTGTCATAGATAGTGGAGGTAGCAGAAAATTGATTTCAGAAGAAATTGTGCGTAATTTAGCATTACGCACTGAATCTCATCCCACTCCGTATTGTATGTAAGTGTGAGAGCTGCTGCTGCTACAGAGAGTACTACAGATATGTAATACAGAGCAAATGCGATAGCTGCTGATACAAGTGCTTGTACGGGCAACCAACACAAACAACACGGGGTTTTTTTTTCTCAAGAATATATTACTAGATCAATCATCAAGCATACTTACAAGTTCCACTCAATCTCTTTAATCTAGTCTCTCACGTTCAAGAATCTATCCCAATCCATGAATCAACTACAACTACACCTTAGCCTCTTTGACAAGGATCTCTTACAAGACAACCCTTAATCCCCTTTGATAAGGCATATTGCTTACTAGAAGATCTTTTAGATGCACTTACGAGTTCCACCTAAAACAACTTATCTAGGCTCACGTGTTCATGGATTTATATACGATCCAAGAACCTTACAAAACAAACCCTTAGCCCCATTGTTTTGTGTTCTTTCATGAGTCCCCCAAAACCTTTACTAAGAATTCTCTCACATTGTGGGGTTCAAGTGCTCTACAAAACTCACGCCCCCTTTTTATACACGACTAACCCTAGCCTTCATCTCCAAGTCTTGATGACTGTTGGGGTCAAAACTCCCTCCGACAGTTTTCTCTTGTAAAATGGCTAAGTATAGAAATGAATATAAATGGGAAGGTGCCTAGTTCACTCTGAAGACCTGGACAACTTGCCAGAGTAACTCACTTCGTCTAACACTGGCATGATCCGCCGACTATTTCTGCCTCTTGTCGACTTCTCCTCTTCTGCCGACTACTGCCACTGCCAACCACCAGTTGCGCCGACCCCTAACCCTCGTGACACCGGCGCAGTAAAGAGCTCGACGAGGTCGACCCATATTAGCTCATTTGGGCCGACTACGTGAAGGTGGGCCGAGAACACAAGCCCAAGTTGGCAGAATGGCAACATGGCGAGATGGCAAGGTCAGGCCCAAGATAACGAAGCATATGGCAAGCGGCGACTACGAAAAATAGGAAATCCCGAGAAATACGAAAAACTTCCTTATCTCTTATTTGTCAGACCTAGCCGACTTAGACTTATATAAATACTCTTGTACTCCCCTTGAAAAAGGGATCCGCAACTTTCTGGCAAAAAGACTTAGCATCAAATCAATAAAGCTTTCTTAACGCTATT